AAATATTTCACTGCGCGATGAGGCAACTACCACTGGGCATGTAAATAAATATGTGTGTCTGTGGAGGGCAGTCGACCTTTGCACGCCGATTGTGTAATCCAAACTGTCGCCAAAGTGGAACGAGCACAGTTGTCAAAGTGGAAGGGGAATGAATACCTGGCTGCCACAGGAGAAGCCAAGGCCAATTAGGTAGCGTTGGGCAGACGAAACACGAGCAGAAAGACTTGGGGAGCAGAAAGCAATGCAGAAGAAGAGCCGACAGATAACCAGGAACCAGCAGCAGCAAGTCCGAGGTACATAAAAGTTCCTCTGATTGAATACGAACCAAGGTTGCAGCAAACGTGGAGGAAATATGAGAGACAGAACCAGAACCAGGAGTGATAATAAACTTATTTATTGCATAGTTTATGCACTGAAGATATCACTCATACGACATGGGTGTCGCACATTTAACATGCATCCACCATCCACCATCCACCATCCAGCCTGGCATAAAATGCGATACGGCGAGTGGAAGTTGCAAAGGATGGGGACAGATACTCGTGCCAGTTACTGCGGCACACACTTATAGTCCTCGCACAAGCACTCCACACCCTGCATCCTCTAGCGGGGACATGTGTATCGACTAGAAGACGCACGATATACTATAACTACAGAAATATAAGTAGGTACAAGCATAATGCGATCGTAAAAAGGCTTTTCATTGCGAGCATAAAGTATTAAGCTACTTTGCAGCATCTTTGCATGCATTACCGAGGGGATAATACACAGACAAACGTCACAGGACACCCAAAGAACACTCTCAACTGTCCTCCTTCTGCTCTCTGTCTCTCTCTCTCTCTCTCTCTCTCTCTGTCACATACCCACCAGCACGTATCCTTCGTCCAGATTAGTAGACACACATGCAGTGGAGTACAAAACGAACTCCCGGCTCCCAGCTCCCAGTCTCTGCCTCAGTTTGTGTCTGTAGTAGAGGCCCGGGCTCCCTTCCTTCCCTTAACCCTCCTCCGTTGAACATATTTTGGAAGTTTACGAGCGAGAATCTTTACCCAAAAGAGGACCCCGGTGTTTGTGTGCCACACAAAAAGGATTGAGCAAAAAGACAATGCGCGAAATTGAATCTCCTCCTGTCATCGCCGCTCTCTCTCTCTCTCTCTCTGTCTCTATCGTATTTGTCGTATGTATAGTAAGTTGCCCAAGAAAATTAAATTGCCATTAACTGAGTCAGTATACATGTACATACATGCATACATACATACACATATGTACATACATATGTATGTAGCTGGTGGTGGGAGACCGACGACAGGGACTTAGTCTGGGATTGCGACTCAGACTCAGACTCCAGACTATTTGCAGTCGAGCAGGAGGAGCATCATCATCATCATCAAAAAAACAATCTGAAATTTATGAAATAAACTCGGGTTTCTCTGGCGATTGCCGCACGGAAGGCTGCATTTACAAGCGCACTCGCAAGTGGCCCAAAAAGGGATATTTATTGCCATTTGCAATAGGTCCAGGCTGTGGTCACGAGCCAAACACACACACACACACAGACTCAATACTTTGAGGCAAGAGATAAATTCACGGTTTGTCATTCATATACATACATATGTGTGTACATCTTTATGTACATCTCTTTGTGTGTACGGATCTGTGTATACATAAATACATTTTTGTTTCGCGACTTTAGTCCGGCTCGAGGACTCACTCACTCTCTCTCGCACATACATGCGTGCAACACAGACAAGGACACACGCTGCTGCTGCTCCGTTGTACGGGCCACGCCGTGCCCAGACCGGGGGCCGGTGGCCGGTGACATTTTCGTTTTGGCATTTCGCATGCAATTTGCAGTTCATTGATTCGGAAGTTTTCCCATTTAACTTAAGCCTCTTTAACAATCCTATTGACGCAAACTTCTACTTACCGCTGCCACAGTGCCACAGTGCCACAGGCTGGCTCCTCATGCCACCGATACTGATATTCCTGTAGCTGGTAGCCAGCAGCCAGTAGCCATTGCCAAACTCCGCCGCCGCTTCAGGTGCGCCGCCTCCGCATTTGATTGCCGTCCACCTAAGAGTCCACTTAGACGGACCATCTGTTCAGTCAGTGAAGCACTCGAGCATATGGCCAATCCTTTCCCCCCTGTCCGCGCATTGCCATTGCTTGATAATTATAATAATGTCAATGGACAGCGAAACGGAGGCTGAGGAGGCTGAGGAGGCTGAGGAGGCAGACAGACAAATGGACAATGGCCATCTAATTGACATCGCTGCTGGACTCCAATTATCTTGCTCTCTCCCTGTCGGGGCTGCTGAATCTGAGGCTCTACGTCTCTGAGGCTCAAAGTAAAATTCCCCCCCTCTCCCCCTTTACCAAATTGATTTCCTGAATGAAAGTGAAACGATCTCCTAGCTGGCTGAACTTTCGAGGCTCCCATGAGTTCCATTTAAATGATCATCAGAGAGAGAGAGAGAGAGAGAGCCATGGGAGGCCGAGGTCGGCGGCATCAGCATCAATGAACCGCTGCCCATGTGCAGCAAGGATTCCCCCGAAACTGGCTGCAGCCAAAGGTTGGATATGCGCCACCAACCCAAACCCCCCTTGCAGTACCTGGAAGTGCCGCTTCCAAGGACAGGTGCAATGTGCAATCTTTTGGTATTTTGTTGGCTTTGCACATTTGGCGTAATGCCAAAACACAATAAATAAAAAAATAAAATGTAGAATGGTGCAGGGGCAGCGGGAAAGCAAAACCACTGCGGCAGACGGCGAAAACACACAAAAAGACAATGCAAACTCAACACCTAAGGATGCCAAACACTTAAAGACGCGGCGACGGCGACGGCGGCGACGGCGGCGGCGGCAGGCGCCCCATCGACTCCAGAGCTGGAGTGAGTGGGAGGGTGCACCATGACGAGGATGCTCTGGGCCCGCAACCCACCATCTCCTTGGAGTCGTCAAGCCTGGCATCAGGCTCATCCTCATCCTCAGCATCGTGTCTGCGGAGCAGCCAGGACGACGTGCATTCATTCAAATCGACTTGCAGCTCTCGACTGGTGCTCCCTTTTTTTCCTCCACTGTTGTCTTTACAAAGGGAATTCATTTTAATGTTAAGGAAGGGACGGAGGGTACGGGACTTGGCTATGGCAGGAAGCGCTTGGCTGGCAGAGGGTCCGGGACGTAGCCGGAGACGGAGTCAAAGTCAGAACGAGTCGATTACTTCTGCGTGTGGCGCGCCAAGATGCGGCTGTGCCTGTGCCTGTGCCTGTGCCTGTGCCGGTGTCTGTGCTGTTTGGCTCCACGGATACGGATTTAAACGGCCAAAGTGCAATCCACAAACACAACAGGGCCAGAGGACAACAGACAGGATACAGAAGACGGTGCAACGCCGGCATTCAAACGCACAGCTAGCGCCCAACTCTGGCCCAGGCCAGAGTCTATAATTTCTGTTGTGGTTCCTGTCTATTGTCTTACCATTGCACCTCCCTCCCTTAGTGGCCCTATCCACCAGCGGTATCCTTCTCCAAGGGCAGCCCAGTACCCGAACCTTCCAGGGAAATGAGCCATTCGCGTGAATTACTTAAAGAGGATCCCAATCCCAGTCCCTTTCGTGACTGCCATCCCTCCTTGGTGGAGCTCATTTGACTTTTAGGTATTCCCTACAATTCTCGCCGTTCTTTAAGCTGTCCCGCACTTTTCTTTTGTGGAGCTTGAATGCCAGGTACAATGGTGGCATGTGGCATCAATCGGAGTTGCAGCTTAGCTGCGCTCCAGGACCATGCGGTTACAACAATGCTGCGAACAACAATTTGAGCAATTTATTTGAAGCCTGGGTAAGGGTAATTTGTAAGGGTATCTACACATGTCCAGCGGTGTTTACGTCCCATACCCTCACACAAGGGTCTGACAGGGGTCTGAGCTGCGATCTGCATAGATTTCTCCTCTGTCCTGAAAGTCATCGATGGTAGATGATCAATAAAACCAGCAGAATACGAAACCTAGATCCCTTGACATACCCATGGGGCAAGAGATCTTGAAGGATCTCCTAAGAGCTCTTCAGAAACACCTCGGAAACTGCGCGAATTCAGGCGCATCTCACAGCAGATATCCAAATGTCAGTCTGTCAAGACAAATTCGAAATGAAAATAACAAAAACGATTCATTTGAACAAATTTAATCGAATATCTTATCAGTGGAGTGAAAGCTCTGCAGGTCTGCAACTCGATTCGAGTGAAAGCTTTCTCCTGAGCGGAGATCTCAAAGCGCCTGCGTCTGGCAGTTTGAGTTTATCTCAAAATTGTGGGTGGCGCCAAATGCTGCTAGATACGAGTCGTTTTTCAGTGGATTTTATGGTTTTAAGTACTATTTCTATTTCTACTTTGGCACTTTTGGCAGTGTATTTGACTGTGTGGCATACGGAGTTGGCTGCGGGTGGCCGGCAATTCATTTCAATGCCCGTCAGAATGGCGGTTAAAAGGGTATTCAATTTTAAATTTGCCGCCAAGCCTGTCGGCGTAATGCACTAACTCGTGCAGGAATGTGACCGCCCAATTCCACTCACATATCGCACAAATATGCCGATGGGGTATGTTATTTTTTAAATAAAAAAATCATTCACTTGCGGAAAATTTGAGGCTGGCGGACATGTGCCAATATGCATCTAATTATTATTTATTGAGTTTTATTTTGTTGTTTAAAAAATAATCATTATTGATTGAATAGTGAAGTATAAGACAAAATGAATCATTACGTTGTGAATATTTCGACAGTTATTTTGACAATTATTCATTATCGTATAATATCTTTAATACCACTTATAATGATTACCACCCTGGTTTTTTGTAGTAAAGATGAAGTTGGGCTTCGATGAGTATTTACTGCTTTAATAGAGCGAGGCTCAGTGGGCTAAGCTTGCTTGTTTATTCGGTATATTTACGGTATATTTTTAATACACAAAAGGTATATTTCGCGTGGTTCTGAGGGTATGGCGGTATATTTGATCGATAAGTCCGCGGTCACACTGACCACAAAATAAACACAAAATAAATCACAAAAATAAAACAAAAGGCGCAACATTTAGCTGCATTTGCGAACGAAAAACTAACGAACGCGGCAAACTTTACAAATCAAAATGTTGTGCAAAAAGTGGGAAAGCGCATAAGCCAGCGCAGCCGCTACAGGAGAGCGCCCTTTTCCATTGAGACGCAATTATGCAAGTTGCAGCAGCCGTAACAACAGCGCCAGCAGATCTAACTGTACTCGCGTTGCTGCTAGTGGTTGGCGGTGGAGTTGGAGGAGGTGCAACAGTTGCTGGACAATTCGCACGGCGCCCCATCGGCCAACAAGGGCTGGAAAAGGACCGGCAAACGGAAGGAGAGCAACAAACGGAACGCAATTGAACGGTTGGGCCACGAGCCTTTTTTTTTTTTTTCCATCGCCTACAGATTTAACCATATTGTGTTCTCTCTGCCACTTACAGATATGACTCAAAGACATTCCGAACCATTTTACATATCGCCCAGGCTATTCGACAACAGGCGCCTCAAGCGACGCCGTGCCAAGTGGATGGAGCGCCTGCGTGAGCACCAACTGATATGCAACGCCGAAATGCGCGCCCAGGCGCTCGCCTCTAAGACTGAACGTGGCAGGCGGCAAAGGCATAATTTAGCCACCGCGACACTGCCTGCAGATGTAACTATCGATTTGCTGTCAGACGACGACGACGAAAATGGCAACGGCAACGACGTCAACGCGATTGTGAAGCCGAGGCCATGGCCGGTGCCGGCAGGTGCGTCATCAACGTGCAACAGCCTGTTTATGCATCAGCCGAACTTGCTGCTTATACCGGCAACCACAATCAGCATGCATCACCAAGACGGCAGCGGCGGCGGCAGGGGACATCACACACAGCGCAGGCCCCCAAAACACGGCGTCATGCGGCAGGGAAATGCAGCGACAACGACATGCGTGCTAGGGAGGGGAAAATCCACTGCCACTGCTACCGCCACGTCCATGCACTCACAATCTCTGACTGAAAGCATACTGATAACCAGTGACGACGAGAACAACGACAATGACATCGCCAAGTATGTGCGCAGGCAGCACTCGATGCGCTCGCCCCCGCCGCTGGCACCGCTGACGCTCTCAGAGACCGTCGAGGAGGTAACCGTGTCGCTGGTGCCGCGCAATACCACCACTGCCAATTGCCAGGCACGCCTACGACACTCACACCCGCCACACTCCGGCAACTACAAAGGCTGCAACATACCGAGAGCACCCCCGCACACAGCAACCACCAATGGCATCGGCATAGGCATAGGCAAAGGCAGAGCAAGTTGCAGCAGCAGCGGCAACGATGGATATCTGGAGGTAGATGTCGGGAGCGGGATTACGGCCACACTGCCAGACGAAACCACCGTGCACACGGTCATTGCGAATCGCATCTATGAGCTCTCGTTGAGCAAGCTGCGTGAGGGACTAGCGTCCAGCGGAGTACCTGAGTACACGCACGATTTGCTGCCGGAGCAGCTGCAGAAGCTCTCGCCAGCGCTGCGTGCCAAAGTGGCGCCTCTGGTGGCGCCGTCACCCCCCACACCCATATCCCTGAAGCTGTCAAGCGACCTCAGCATATCACTGATCTCAGACGACGACGATTGCGAGAGCAGCAACCCCAACCACGCAGCCGGAGGACTCGGAGCCGAGCTGGTCTACCCAGTGGCAGCTGCCGAGGCGCACGCGGCCGCCAAGCTTCTTAAACAGCAGCAGCCCCAGCTGTCGGTGGTGCAGCATCTGCAGTATGCTGGCGGTGGCTTTGCACCGCCCGTGGCCTTGGCACTGCCAGTGATGGCCCACACGGCGACCACATCCACGGCTCCATTACCGCGTCGCCGTAAACTGGGCTGAGGAGCGGGCCAGACAGACAGACAAAGCTGATCCGAGCCGATCCGATCCCGACCCACAACTCCCCAAAAGCCAAGCAGCCATAAATCATTCCCCCACAGCCGGACTCTCGTCACGATGTAGTCGCTGGCTCAGACTTTTCCTAGCATTTGCTAGTAGTTCAAATATAAAGTTAGTTTTTAGTATTTTCGCGCGCCCTCATGATTTTCCCAGTGTACACTCAACCCCTCGGCCAAACCCATTGAATAATATTTTGTTTCTCTCTCTCTCTCTCTTTTTCCTTCGCTCTTGCTTTCTCTGTCTTTCTCATAAATTTAAGTTTAAGCTTTAATGGAATGAAAGACGAAGAACAAAAACAAACGTACAAAAGTAGCGGAAAGAAAAGAAAGAAAAATATAAGGCAGATCCAGAGACGAGAGATTTGTTTGTTGGAAGAAAAGAAAGGTAAAGAAAATGTTGTGTAAATTAATAGGAGAAGAGAAAATAGCAGAAATTTGCAAGGAAAGAAAACAATTGGAAAAATTAACCCAATATTTATATACATATAAAAGCAAACAGAAAAACACACACACACACACAATTAGTTTTTAAGCTATAAAAGTATTTTGATTAAGCCGTAATTTGTGTGCATCAATCATGAATGATCCACACACACAAACACACACCCGAATAAGAATATATGCTTACATATGTAGGTGTCGAAGATGAGAAACTTGTATTATATTTTACCGTTCGATCCACGGCCCCGCCCCTAGATTTCCATGAAAGTAACCTTAAAATTATGAAGTGTTGATATGCTTTCACCAGCAGTTCGAGCAGCGTGTTTTAGTTTCCCCCCTAAGCAATGTAATTGGTAACATGCCAATGATTTCATTAATTATTAACCATAAAATAATATTATTTTCATCTCATCGGCAGAACTAATGTGCGAATATTTACCGTTTTCGGAAGTGCACCACATGGAAGGGCCCAACCTCAACGGCCAGGGCTGTTTGGTTGTTATACCCGATACTCAAAGTGTAAATAGGGTATAGCCACGTCTGGCTTTCCTTCCGTCTGTTCGTCCGGCTTGTTGAGCGCCGGATCTCAGAGACCATAAAAGCTTAGGGCGAAAAATGGCGAAAATCTGCTGTATGCACAATTTTAAAGATAAAAGAAAACTACAAATGTCATTCCGTAGGGAAGGACTATATCTTTCAGATCACCGAATTGGGATCAGATTCGATCATTATTAATGAAGAAATGAATTTTCAGTGTCGACCCACACCCTGTCCAGCAGCTTTTTTTTATATTTTGCATATTTAGCTAAAAGAGCGTATAATATATAAAAAATATATAAAAAAAATGTACAATGTAAAATTTGAAAAAAAAGTAGGGTACAGGTGTGCCACTGAGTACCGGGTCTCACGGGTCTAAAGCAACTATACAAGGAGGCCTCGTCGGTATCAGAGTTATTCGCTGCTTTTCCCAATTCTCGGTGCTCGTTTGCTTCAAACTTTTTCAAAATGTTTATATTTTCAAAACACAGACTACTATTATGTAGCAAACTATTAAAAATTAAATTATGAAACAATTATTATGTTTTTTTCACATTGCCTTGAAATGATTAATCAGCACACTCCATTGTCGTTGCCCTCACACTTACAGCGAGAGCCCTTTCACTCGCACTTTTCACTCGCACGTTTCCATAATTTTTTCCGACGAAACCTCCTTATATAGTTGCTTTATGGTCTCACACGTTCTTCCTCTTTTTTTTTTTGGTTTTTTCGACCCTTTTCAGCTTAAAACTTATTTCATATGAAAAACCAACAAAAGCGAGGATTTCAGTCTTTAGCTCAGTCGTCAACCATTGGCGTTTTATATACACGCTAATATTATTAAACTGGAAGTCAATTAGCGCAGTTCAGGTGAAGGTTGGAAGGTTGGAGCTACAAGAAACAATTATAAAACAGTATTTTGCTCCGCTGTTTTATTAAAGTTTTTCCACCATGTATTTAAAAAGATGGGCTTTGATAGGGTTAATATCGTTTCTTCATCGGTATATTTACGGTATATACTTTGGTATATTCCTAATCCGCTTCGAAATCTGCTTAGAATTTATTTGTTTATATTGCGGAAAGGGCCATATAAGAGGCCAGGATGAGCCGGAAACTGACCAGGGAGACGGCCCAGCAGCACTGTCTCACCTGCTTGTTGAAGCTGGACAGCGGACAGGAGCCGGATGAGTCAGCCATCAGCCAGGAGATGCAGCAACTGCTCCATCAACACCTGGACTGGCCTCTGGAGGAAGAGCTCCAGGGGGAGAAGTGGCTGCCACAGCAGCTGTGCCCGCCCTGTCGTCAAGAACTTCAGCGTTTCGAGCAGTTCCGTCAGCGGGCGATCGAGTGCCGGCTCGAGCTGCTGGATCTGCTGAAGGAGGAAGAGTGCACTGAGCCCTCGTTTGAGGTTGTGTACGAGGAGCCAGCGACTGGGTGCCAAGATGAAGAGTCGCTGCACAGTCTTGAACCACCGGAGCCGGATCCAGATCCAGATCCTATCGACAAGTCTGATGCAGAAAGACTGCCAGAAGGGGGCCAGGGACAGACAGAGAACGAGAACAAGGTGGAGAAGCGAAACTCGCGGGGCGTTAGAAACAGCCTGAAGTGCAGCCTGTGCCAGCACAGCTTCGCCCACAAGCTCACCCTGTCCGCCCACATCCGCAAAGTGCACGAGGGCAGCAAGCGGCCGTTCCAGTGCGACCAGTGCGACAAATGCTACAGCTTCATGGGCGGCCTCTACACGCACATCAAGGAGATTCATGCGACGCGCGAGCGTCGCTATCCCTGCGACCAGAACGGCTGTGATCGCGTCTACACCAGCTCCATTGCCATGCAGAAGCACAAGCGGCTGAAGCACAGCCAGAAGGAGCCGGCGCGAAAGTTCATCTGCGAGCAGTGCGGCGCCACCTTCAACCAGTCGGCCAACCTAAACTACCACCGACGCACCAAGCACCCCACCGAGGATGAGGTGGCTGCCCGGGACAGCGGCAGTGAGCAACACTTTTGCGAGCTCTGCCGGAAGCACTTCCACTCGCGCTACACCCTGCGCTACCACACCATGCAGCAGCACGGAGACCAGGAGCGCCTGTTGCCGCACGAGTGCCAGGTGTGCGGCCGTCGCATGGCCAAGAAATTCATGCTGCTGCAGCACATGCTGACGCACTCTACCGCCAAGATGCCCTGCGAGCACTGCGGCAAGCTGTTCGCCCGCAAGTTCGAGCTGGAGGCGCACATCCGAGCGGTGCACCTCAAGCTTAAACCCTTCGCCTGCAAGTACTGCTCGGAGTGCTTTGCCTCGCGCAAAACCCTGCGCCACCACGAGTACATCCACACGGGCGAGAAGCCCTATTTGTGCGATGTGTGTGGCCAGGGATTCCGGCAGCAGTCGTGCCGCAAGAAACACCGCATGGTGCACGATAAACAGGATGCTGGAGTGTCTGTCTAACAAATCAAATTTAATTAGATTAAGTCAATAAACAATAATTCTTACAGAATATTTTTGTAGTTGTTTATGATTATCGCTTAGGCTGCTGATTGGCGGGTGGATGCTGCTCTCGCTCTATGTAGACGGGCAGGTCTTCGAGCGGCTTGTAGTACAGATGCACCGCCTGGGAGCCGGCCATCATGGCCAGCATTGCGCTGGCCAGGAACTTGCTGTACTGACCCCACGACACGCCAGCTGGCATGATTCCCCCTCAGTTCTGCGACTGCTGCTGCTGCTGCTCCTGCTGAAGGTGTTGGTGGTGCTGATGCTCCTCCACGTAGTTCTTCGCCTGGCGTCGCTTAAAAGTGCTATCTGCAAGCGGAAAGTACCCAGATTAGACAGGGATAGATGCACAGGTAATCCGACATACAGAAATTCGTTTCGCCCACCGTCCAGTTGATCATGGAGAACTCAAGGGCAGCGCCCAGCACAAAGAAGAGTGGCAGGAAGCGATAGATGCCGAAGCGTCGCTTGCCGGGCCAACTGTCGAGGAGACGTCGCACGGAGCCGCTATACAGATTCATGTGTGTGGCCGCAGCGTGGGGGAATTATGTAATTTCGTGGCCGTTTTCCGGCAGCTATTGTTGGGTGGGTCTGTCTGCTGTAGCCTCTGCGGATTCAAGCATCAAACCCCTGTCGTCTGCTTTCGTAGTAACTAGTGGAAGTTCAGCAATTTAGCTGAGAATTTAAAAATTACAAAACGAGCCCATCGCTTTAAGTATATTTTCGTGCTACAACAGCTGTTAGGTTAACAGTCTGGTAGCGCCATTGAGTATTTAATTGTTAGGAATGTGGTATTTTAACACATAAAAATAACAGCGTTTGGGTTTTCTGCGCGCTTGCCAACACTGCCCGAAATAGCAAAATTAAGAACATTTGTAAACAACTTTGGCAGAAATATGATACACAGTCTGTTTATCGTTAACAGCGCGGGGTAAGTACTGTCTTAGCCTGGAACGAACAGCAAACGATTCTCAAACATTTCACCTCACCTAGCGAGGTGTTTCTCGAGAAGCACTGGCGGTCTGTCGTCTCGCGATCCGTTTGCGAATATTTTCTCGATGCTCAGCGCGCTGCACCATATGTAAGGCAGTCAACCCCCCGCGTACAGTGATTCTGCCACGTACTGAACTTAATTTATTATCAATGCAGGATGTGCCGCCGGTGATAGCCACGCCCCACTACTACCTCATCACCGTCCAACGAGAGGCCGTTTCCCTGGTGGCCGCCTGTAAGCAGGAGGTGCCGCCGCTTTTTGTGATCGAATTCCTGCACCGTGTGGTGGATACATTCCAGGACTATTTCGGCGACTGCTCGGAGACGGTGATCAAGGATAACTATGTGGTCGTCTATGAGCTGCTCGACGAGATGCTGGACAATGGCTTCCCACTGGCCACGGAGAGCAATATCCTGAAGGAGCTGATTAAACCACCGAATATACTCCGCACCATTGCCAACACCGTCACCGGCAAGAGCAAGTCCGTCCAAGCCAACGCCGAAACGAACTTCTTCCCATAGATTTAATTTTCCCTTCTCCTTTTTCATTGCAGTGTCAGCACCATACTGCCGTCGGGACAGCTATCGGCCATACCCTGGCGTCGGAGCGGTGTGCGGTACACCAACAACGAGGCATACTTCGATGTCATCGAAGAGGTGGATGCCATCATTGACAAATCGGGATCAACTGTCTTTGCTGAAATCCAGGGACATGTAAGTTCTAAAATCGAGAAACAGAAAAGCTCAAAAAGTTTGAAATTCGCCTTCTCAGATCGATTGCTGCATCAAGTTGTCGGGCATGCCCGATCTTACCTTGTCCTTTATGAATCCACGCCTCTTCGACGACGTGTCGTTCCATCCGTGCGTGCGGTTCAAGCGGTGGGAGGCCGAGAGACTGCTCTCCTTCATACCGCCCGATGGCAATT